GACAAGAAGCCAGAAATTACAGATCAAAAAGATATTTTTAACTCTTAAGCAATCAGGATGTGATTTAAATAAAGCAGAAAGATCTTTCTCCAACTCTTAGCATCACATATAGAAGCCTCTCAAAATGCTTATTGTGAAAGCAGTATAACTCTACTATATGGACTATTTTGGAGATAAAAAAATGAAAAAGCATTTATAAGTACAAAGATAATTGCATGCAATATTTGAGGTCATATGTCCTCAAAAAGTATAAAAAGTCTGTATCAAAACTCACTGGAGATAAGAATACATGATTCCATGTAGTTCCCAGAAGACCAATGAATTCTCTGAAGTCATAAAGTTCAGAGCAACAAAGAGCCAGGTTTTCTACCAAACTGTTCTATTTTTAATAACACTAACAACAAGAAATCCTAACATTTTGTATTAATTCTAGCTATGCTAATTCCATAGAAGGAATCAGTAATGAAAGCCACAGAGTAAAACACAGCCTGGATTAACTATAACATGGAAGAAGATAAGAAAAGAAATCAGAGAACATCAAAGTAAGCTCTCTCTTCCTTACCTAGTTTTAAAAATAGCACACAAAAGTTTACAGCTGCCAATGGAGTTCAGGCGTCTGCTACTGACTAACCAGCTGACATTCTTCTATACGACGGGTAGATTACCCACTCCCTATGTTTCATAGCTCTGCTTCTGTGGATAAATGGAGCTATTAACAGCAGCATTTGTTTTTAAAATCCCTTAAAAGGAACTGAGGGTCATATAATTGACCATACTATAAGCAAGACACTTTTTTGTCATGCGAATTTAAAGGAATTGATTCATACATCAGAATCTCTTTTGAATTTCAGTGACAGAAATGACAATTCTGATAATTCTAGAGAGGGTTAAGGAGGGTTTACATTCTACTGTGGCTAAATACCAAGCTGAGAAGGACAGAAGTACAAACTCTTTAAAATCCTATCAGGTAACTCCATGGCTGATTCATGTCAATGTATGACAAAACCCACTGAAATGTTGTGAAGTAATTAGCCTCCAACTAATAAAAATAAATGAAAAAAAATAAATAAATAAAAGTGTAAAATCCTATCAGATCTTCCTGAAGAGGAATTATTGATCCCAAGGTCAGTTGTCCTCCACTAAATCTGCCTCTTCTTTGCCTGTTTCCTACAAGTATCTTTCCATGTAGAGAGACCAAAGCATTACTTGAGCTGGATATCTATGGGTGTCACCAAAGTGAAGGTAAAAGAAATACACAAAGGGAACTTTCAAAGAATACTGGCTCGTACTATTTAGTGTGGGACTAAAAGCCACTTTCTAATTGGAATAACCAGTCCCATACAAACTCGTATCTGAAAATGATAGTTAATATCCAGAGAACAGTGACAGTGAGGGTGACCAAGAGGCTGGAACACTCTAGCTGCGGCTGCAATTATTGAGTAGAAGCTAAAAACTGTGAACCAAATAAAACCTGTGAACAAGCCAGCAGGATCGTCTAAAGCTAACATCACAAAATCTTAGCATTGAGTCACGTTCATGAGAGGCAAAGAAAAAAAGATGTAGCAAAACTGGAACAATACAGGGAGATTGTATTGGTGCTATCATTATGCATGGTGGTGGTGGTGGTTTCGTCACTAAGTCGTGTCCGACTCTTGCAACCCCATGGACTGTAGCCTGCCAGGCTCCTCTGTCCATGGGATTCTCCAGGCAAGAATATTGGATTATGCATAGGAGAAGCAATTACTACTGTCAAAATTCTAATGTATAATACTTTCTCTTATCTAAAACAATGTGGTTTTAGTTCACATGTATCTTTATTTATTGCCACTAAAGTAATTTCAAGAGAGAAGGGACAATGAGAGTATAAGTTTCACATGTGGACTATTACTTGCAAATTACCCTAAACCTTGCCCTCTAGACCAGGAGTGGAAAACAGGTTTTATCTTGTATACTGACCCCAATTGATTGAAGGCCCTGTCTGAGAAGGACTGCTAGGGCTAAATGGACAGAATACAAAGCCTACCTTGGATGAGGGATTGGGCAATAAGGCACTAGGTAATACGTTCTGCCATCCTGGGCTTTAGTCCAGTGGTTGTCCAACTGTCAGAGAATTTCCTCCCCAAAGGATATCTGGCAATGTCTGAAAATAATTGTTATCTCAACTGAGGAGGTGCTAGTGGTACAGGATGATGCTAAACAGTCTACAGCACCCCAAACCCCTCAAAACAAAGAATCATCTGGGCCACAATGTCAGTAGTGCTGAGGCTGGGAAACCATGGTCCCGTCAAATCTACCCTATGATTAGTCCATGGATCAGATCTTCAGTCAAATAACATTACATTTGGCTTGATGTAGTTTTCCTTAACAATCTCTCCTAATGCCTGAGTAATTCTATATAACCTGATTGGAGAACCAAGGAATCAATTTGATTCAGGCAGATCACACTGATCTGTCCTTAACTTGTACTGTGACCACAAATTATTTTATCCTTTGAAAGTTTGTTTTTTTAATCTGAGAGGAGGCTGGACTAGATAATTACCATGCTCATACAAAAGACAAAACTGCTAGGAAGCCCCTAAATGCACTAATGGAATAAAGCCCTTGTTGATAGTCTTTTCAACCAAAGATAATTTCCCTTTGGCCTAGAACCAAAGTTTCTCAATTCCTTTCAATCTCTTCTAGTGTAGTTACCTGCCTGAACTTAAAACTATTTTAATTTTTACATAATGCTTAAATATTTTCCCCATCTGGGGCCTTCCTGGTGGCGCAGTGGTTAAGAATCCACCTGTCAATGCAGGGGACATGAGTTCGATCCCTGATCCAAGACGATCCGACACGCCATGAACCAACTAAACCTGTGTACCACAACTAGCTCTCTAAAGCCCAGGAACCACACTGTTGAATCCTGTGAACCCTAGAGCCTGTGCTCCACAATAAGAAAAGCCACCGCAATAAGAAACCCATGCACTGCAACCAAGAGTAGCTCCTGCTCACGGCGACTAGAGAAAAGCCCGCACAGCAGTGAAGACTGACCACAGCCAAAAACACACACAAAATAATAAAACAGTATTTCCCGTCTAAACCCTTGCCATGGAATTAGATGCTCTGGCATCTCTCAAGGTATTCCTACTGTCTTGTCCATCACCATTACACTATCTGAACTTGGCTTCTTCCAGTTCTCTAACAACATATTCTGTCATTTCTTTATCATTTAAGCTATTAGGATCAGTTGTATAGTTGCTTATCATTATACTTCTCTCTTTTACCCTATAAATCTCCTTCCTCAGTTAATTAATCAATGTAACTATTTCAGGGCCTTTCTCTGTGCCTATTACATTAATGTTGGAGAGATGAGTAGAGGCTGGAGCTGAATGTGTTGATATAAAAAGTTTCTGGCTACAAAGCATTTACAGGCTAATTAAAAGGATGAAATGTGAAACTATTAGAGAAAAAGTCATATTATAGCGGAGAAATGTCACTAAGAGGGTAAGAAATGCCAAAAGAATGAAACAAAATATCTGCTGTCTAAAGATTAAGAACAACTCAGAAGCTATCAAAAATGTTAGAAAAAAATCCTTACAAATCAGATACAGAGGGATTGCTGTCATCTTACCAATGACTTCAAAAGTTGGCCCTATGTCTTCAAGTTATGTTAGAGAGATATGAAAAACATGGCCAAATAACAAACTGTAAGAACCAATTCAAGTTCCCTTCAGAGAGAAAAATTACACAGAGCATTTGGAAGTTACTGATATAAAGTCATTTGTGTTAACACCCCACCTATCGAAATGGAGATCCCATAAACTACTCTGAAGAGGAGCATTTATACAAGAATAAAAAGGGCAACAAATTTAACCATACTGAAAGCTCATCAAGGTCTGGACATGCGCACTCTGAAGCAGAATACAGGTATTTACTCTTAGATGTCAATTTCTAAAGATTAACATTATGCTCTGAACCTAAACTATTTAACCCTTACCATTTATATATTTTTTCTAAAGCCTAACAAACTATTTTCACCTGTGACACTTTTTGGGGTAGGAACGCTACTATGTCCATAATCTAGTTGTGCAATAGTAAATATCTCAAGTTTCTGGCATCACATGGGAAGACTGCGTTTTGGATGGGTCATTTTCACTGTTATAAAATAATTCTATGTCTAAATGAGCACAAGATTAAAATAATGAGTAAATGAAATGATCTCTCCATAGCATTTCTCTAAGGGGATAATCTTTTTGAGACCTCTTCATAATGCTTAAAGCCAGATTATAGCTCTCTGGGGCCTATTTTTTTCAACTCCAAACTTTTCAGACTAGCATTTGAGGGGTTCCAACCAGTTTCCTCTCCCCTTCAATCACATTAACTTCATCCAGCATTAGTATCCTCCTTGTGCCTAAACAGGCTCATTGATTTAGAATGTCCATGCTGCTCAATATTCTCAACTTTTAAATCAATAGAATTTCAATATAATCTAATACATAGTACTCTGAAAACAAGTGCTGAGCAAGTCATTCCATTCATTACATTTCTGCTTTTGGCATGGCAACAAATAAGTCCACATTTGAGAGAGGGCTGTTTACATATGAGAGGTCTGTTTACATACGAGTTTTCCATTATTTTATGTGTTTCTTACTTTTATATCAAAGAACGTGATTTAAAAATTCAGAGATAATTTTTAACAATAATCTCATCACTAAATCAAAATAAAATCTTATCTCTGTTTGCAATAAATATATCCTAGTGGATCAAAAAGAATCAAAGAATAAATCAAATCAAATCAAATCAAAGAATAAAGAATCAAAAAGAGAGAAGAAAAGAACAGATCAAGAAAAAGATACAACTCTCTATCACCCAAATATCTGTTAAACAGGTATTACAGGAACAGTAGAAGGGCCTTTAAAATGATGAGAAGAGCATGAGATGTTTGTCTCCACACATCTTTTGAATTTATTAAAAGGAGAAGATTTCTATTCTTAATGCTACCAACAGTAAAAACATACCTGATTTTATTTTCCATATCTTCACTATCTGACTCTTCAGAGCTTCTGTACTTATCTGGATCTGGAAGTGTGCTTGGATCAAATCCATCATTATCATCATCGCTCCAATCCAGAAAGGCTTCCTCTTCATCTCTAGCCTAAAAAAACATAAGGAAAACTCTGGTTTAAGAAAACAGCTGATAAATAATCAGGTCTTATTTCTAGCCCCAAATAAATACCGCTAATTGAGATCCTCAAATTAGAAGTCTTCTATTCTGGTGAAGGCCTCTATGTGACTTTCAGAACCATAATCATTTGCACTGAGAGGAAAAAAACCACACCATTTCAAAACTAAAACAAAATATGGTTCAAAAAGTAAATCATTAAGAAGTCCCTTATATGCAATATAGGAAAAATTTGACAGTTCAACTACTTCTAAGTTATTCAACTATCAAAGAAATAAAAGTATAAAATACATTTTAGTGCTCCTGTTCACTATGCAAATTTCAAGACTACCAAAAATATTAGGTAAATATATAAAAAGCCAAACGAGAGAATACAGGAACATTTGCCTGATAATTTTATAACCACAATAAGCCTTAAAATGACAATCAAATCTTTACAAGCTCATTAATAGTAAGGGACCTTCTAAATTCAAGTTAAGTATACAAAGTCACTAAGAATGATGGAAAAAGTAGGATGAATAGCAAGATACAGAAAGCTGGAAACTATTCAGTTTCATAGTTTCATGCAAGTAGGTAGGCTTTTTTTTTTTTTTTTTACTGTTTTGCAATGGTTTATTTTTGTCAAGGACCAAAGTAATGCAAATTTAAAATAAATTTACTACACATTTTATGTAATGAACACCCCTTATAACAAATTTATTTTTGGCAGATTGGTTATATCACCTGGTAGATAAGAAATACAAACACTGTCACTGTGCATTTAACAGATTATAACCAATAAGCAGGACTAAAAAACAATTCTGGATGAATTTCTCTTAGTGAGTACACTTTATAAATTTCCTTCATACCAGATGTAACAAACTTCAATGACTCTTTGATTTCAAATGTTTAATGTTCTTTCCCAGAAACTGAATAACAACTCAGAATATCACAGCTATTGACTGTGTAGGCCTCTACTGAAGCCTGAAGTCTGCGAACACCTTTTGAACAGCTTTCCCTTGATAACCCCTAAACATAATAAAAGGAGGAAAAGTAAAGAAAACAAGGATTAGTCACCACCGCAAAAGTCCCTTATTGTTTTCCTGGTAAAATTCCTGGCTAAAAATAAAGGGTCTGGAAACAAGTATCAGAAGGGAAAAAGGAAAGGCTGCCCTTAGAGGCAGTAAGCGGCACTCTCAACAACATACCACTCTATGGGCCACTTGAAAATAATCAAGGATATCAACAAAAACTGAATGTCATCATGTATTGAAGAACACTAATCTCCCAAGCTACAAGATATTCCAATTTTCCAGTCTGATTCTCTCAAAGGAATCTGCTATCTAAAAGGTGCAGACAGAGAATTACCAAAGTATTGTGTTGGCCAAAAAATTGGTTTGGGTTTTCTGAACAAACTATTTGATCAGCCCAATAATTCTTAAGCTTTTTTGGTCCAAAGAGCTTGTGTTAATGTGGATTATATCTAATATCATTTACTGTATTAGAAGTTTAAACTAAGAATTTTAAACAATTCATTAATTTAAAAGCAATAATAACAAACTCTGTATCATTATGTATTAACATATATTAACATAGTGTTTTATGAAAATAGCTACAAATTCCGAAACAAAAGAACTATGTTTTACATTTTAAACAAATCTCTTTAATGCCTGGCTAAGAAGAAGGTATTTGCATTCTTATATCTGCTTTTGCATTCAATATGTTGTTCTGGTTGAAATATATGCAGAAAATCCAGTCTCTAAGAAATGGGAAAGGGAAAAGTCATTTAACAGACTTTTTAGATAGGTGTAGTTCTTCTCCTTTGATACTACACTAAGTATTGATGAATGGCAGTTTCTTAAAAAGTTGTTGCAATGTGGAATCTGAAGCCATTATTAATACACTTTCTACATCCTGTTACATTAAAACCCATAGATCTACCATGCACTTTGAATGGATTTTTTTTTTAATCAGTGATTTCATAACACTGTGCATTGGTCATTTATTTGGAAAATAATGATTCACTAAAATATCCATATCTTCCTTATGTGGATCTTCAAATGTTAACACATTTCAACTATACAATATTTTTAAAAATCATATTTCTTAATATCAGTCAGTATCCTTTTAAAATGTCTTTCCAGGTACTGGAAAGCTATTGGTGGACATTAAGTTTTCCAAAATTCTCATTTTTTCTTAGTGGCACAGTCGGGAATCTGCCTGTGAGATGCAGAAGACACAGGTTCGATCCCTGGGTTGAGAAGATTCCCCGGAGGGGGAAAAGGCAACCCACTGCAGTATTCTTGCCTGGAAAATTCCATGGACAGAGGAGCCTGGGAGGCTACAGTCCATGGGATCACAAAGAGTTGGACATGATGGAGCACACAGCATAATTTTTTCCTTAAATGCTTGGACTTTTTCATTAGTAAGAAATAATTTCAGTTTCTTTTTCCTTGACATGTAAGCAACAACTGTTTTTTTCCTCTGGATGCTTTCAAAATTTTCTCTTTATCATAAACCAGGTAGACTATGATGTATCTAAGAAAGGTTTTCCTTTGTATTCATCTTTCTTCACACAGAGTCGGACATGACTGAAGTGACTTAGCAGCAGCAGCAGCATCTTTCTTCGGGCTCTACAACCTTCTTGGATTTATCAATTGCTTTACACTAAATTTGGGAAACTTTTGGCTGTTATTTCTTCAAATATTTTTATGCCTCTTTCTCACCATTCCTTCCATGATTGCAAAAAATTGTATATTAGACTACTTCACAGTTCTCTTAGTTTTGCTCATTTTTCTTCAACCTTTTTTCTTTCTGTTCTTTGCATAAGGTCATTTCTCCTGAGTCATCAGGTTTGCTGTTTTTTTTGTTTTGTTTTTTTTTCTCCTGATAATTTAAAACATTTTTCAGGCCACCCAGCAAGAACTTTATAGTAACTGTGCTTTCAGGTCTAAGATGAGGTTTCTTTTTGTTTTGATTGTGTTTCCATAATTTCCATAGGTTATAATCTTGCTCTGGGGAAGCCACCTATCTGTTTATTCACATGCCTGTATTTTCTTTTAATTCTTCAAACATGTTTTCTCTTAATTCTTTTAACATTTAAAATAGCTGCACTGAAATCTTTGATAAATTCAAATCTGGGCTACCAAGGGTTTCTACTGACTATTTTTTCTTGGCCATGAGTCACAATTTCCTGCTTAATTACATGTTTAATATTTTTGTAGAAAACCAGCTGCAGTCCATGGGGTCACAAAGAGTAGGACACGACTGCTCGACTTCACTTTCACTTTTCATTTTCATGCACTGGAGAAGGAAATGGCAGTCCACTCCAGTGTTCTTGCCTGGAGAATCCCAGGGACTGCGGAGCCTGGTGGGCTGCCGTCTAAGGGGTCGCACAGAGTCGGACATGACTGAAGCAACTTAGCAGCAGCGGCAGACACTGTAGAAAATATTTTCTAGAAACACTGAATTCTATTAGGTTTTTCTGAGGATTATTAGATTTCTATTCTAACAGAGAATTACCTTGCCTGGATTCAAGCTGCAAATTCTCTCTAGCCCACAGTGCTCAGCTACTGTATCTCGTCTCTGATTTGTCCTTATAGCTCCAACTGCTGCTGCCGCTGTTTTCTAAGCATTGTTTCCTATGAGTCTCCTCTCAGCTGTGAAATGTGAGATTCTGCCAAGGACTGAGGCAGAGCTGGCTTCACCCTCCCTGTGACTGCTTTGCTGCCTGGGGTTTCCCCTAATTTTCAGTTGCTCTGTTGGCTCTGAGATCTAACTCTGACATGTCAGGTAGAATTCTTCAATTAATTGCATTTTAATACATAAAATCATTTAATATGCTTCTTTAAAATCTGCTATAAGTAGCCTTCATAAAATAAGTACAATATAATAAGAAATAAACTCAATATTCCACTGTACATGTTTATCTACTTGATAAGTGGAAAAAACTAATACAAAATGATGAAAATTTATTTTTAAAGGGATAAAATATTATTTGGATTTGTGTTACCACGACTCTCTTGAACTGCCAACCTTTCCTGATCTATAAGATGATCCCACTGTTGATACGATACCATACTGTCTGTACTGCATTATACTCCTCAATTCATGACAAAGACAAATAAATCCTGGTTGGCAATAACTCCTTTTAGAAACACAATGGGGAATACATGTAAATTCCGGGCTGATTCCTGTCAATGTATGGCAAAATCCACTACAATACTGTAAAGTAATTAGCCTCCAACTAATAAAAATAAATGAAAAAAAAAAAAAGAAACACGATTTCAACCTACTAGAAGTGTAGAGATGAGAGAAGAAAGACATATTCATATTGATCTTTTTTGTTTTTTAGTTCATTCCTTGAAGGGTTAGAAATATATAACTATAAAAATTTATAATATTTGTATTAACAAGTAAAGCATGCTTCTATTAATGCTTTTAATCTATTAAAAATAAATAAAACCTATCATCTACAACAAACTGACAAAGCATAAATAAAAGTAAGGAAAGAGGGTATTTCCATAATGAAAACATTCTAGAAAAAAGTGCTGAGTGTCTTCCTGGCAAAGTCTAGTTCAGAAGTATGTTCTTTCTAATTATATAATGTAGCAAAAAACAAAACTGACAATGGACATTTTAGCTGCTCTGTCTTGCTCTATCCTTGTGATTTCATGAACCATTTAAAAGCTAATATATAAATATGGCTTTTATCTCTCTCTGGACTCCTTTTCATGAGACAGCACAAATACTATCATGTATCTATCACCTTGTATATGACTGTGACATATCAGTCTATTAGAACATCACAGTCAGAAACTCACAGGAATTATTTAAGTATCCTTAAATACAGGAGACTTAAATTTGTATCTTATAGATGCTGCACTCTGGCAGCAATGGGAAGGGAGGCTGTAAGATTTGAAGGTAGGATATCAGTTTAAAAACGACCCATACAATAATCCAGGAAAGGCAAGGGATTCAATGAAGGAAGTGGC